GTGGTTGCAAGGAAAGCATAGCTACGATTTAAATAGCAGGGTAAATCCTTCATAGCTACGTTCAGTAAATAGAAAATAATTCTTACAGAAAGATCCTGGAAAAAGATATACCACATGTTGTATCTTTTGTAAGAGTTAGCATGAACACATTTAGAAGGCTAGGGATGTAGCACTTCTCAGAAGGTTGATACAACAATTTACAAATGATGAGATCAAGAGGTTTTAAAAAAGATATATGAACAGACATGCACAACCCAATCTGTGGCTGGATTAAATAACAGTTTAAGTACAAAAACGAATATATCTGCTCACTAAATATAATTTTAAAAAAGGCGCTTCTTATGTTTGTATCTTTATGATGGCAATTTACTGAATCCTTTAAAAATACTAATTTATTGAGGGAACTTGATTTGTATACATTTATATAATTCCAACTCTATGCTCAGATTATTTTCCTAATATATTTGGTTTTGATTCTACTGATACATTGCATGAGAGATTAAAATGATGACTATACAATGTTCTTTTGTCAATAATACTCCTTTAACACATTTTCAATTATGAGATATTACAAGTGTATCAAAAACAACTAGTTCAGCAGTCTGGTGAGGCTTGGAGGGAACAAGTGATATCAGGAGTGTGTGTGTGTGTGTGTGTGTGTGTGTGTGTGTGTGTGTGAGAGGGGGAGACTTTATGAGTCCTTCATGACAGTCAGGGTGAAGTACATCCCTATAGATCATAGATAGCGTCTCTGAGGGAGCCTTACTGGGCATTTTTGTCAACGTCATGGAAAAGGCCAAGCCAGCAGATGGTGCTCTTGATTTATCCTTTATCTCTCTCTTCTCTCACACACACACACACGGACATACGTACACATTGTCCTATTGGAACTTGGCTCCAGACAGTGTGAGAGGAAACCTCTCATGCTGGTCAGATGATTGAGAAGCTGAACTTCTCCTCACACTGCTACAGTGCTACGACCTCCTCAGTCACCAGGTTTGCTCCAGGCACTTTCTGCTTGCTCAGCTAATGCGAATTTGGCAGACTGCAGTAAAAAACAATAAGAGTGCAGAACCATAACGCATCAGGCTCTCGGGCTATCCATTTCAAGACACTGGGGGTCACAGAATATTCACGACTTATGTCCAATATCTTCAAATTGTGCTCTTGACATGAAGAAGATGCATCCAGGCGGTTGCGTAAGTCTTCATAGATAAAATCTGGTGTGTTTACACTGAACAATTAGCTTCCTGGGACTAAAGTAGGTCAATTCTGGTGGATGTGGCATGAATGCAAATGCTACCTTCCTAAAGCCTCAGACCCCCCCTGGTGTGTGTTGCTTCTCTGCCAAAGTAATCCAGAGTGGATCTGCATGGAGAGGCTTTCCATACAAATGGATGGAGAGCAGCAGAGAGTGGAGACACAAGAGACATTGGAATATTTTACTGTAATGTACATGAATGGGAATATACTTTTCCACACCGAGCGTTAGCGTGAGCAACTCGGCTGGTTGTGCCACTTTTCCAAATGAATGTGTTTAGAGCTAATGGAGGTAGTTCACTCCGCAGTAGGTGTTAGGCAGCGAGGAACTGCTGGAAGGATTTGAAGACACAAAGCTTAAGACCTGCTGGGCGTCCAGGCAGGGATCCATCCCTTTTCCCCTCTGAGTTGACTCACTCCCTACATGGGCATTGTAAAAACATATAATTACAGTCAATTTGAAACTGAAGTGAAAGACTCATTTAACAACCCTTCCAGTGTCCTTGAATGTCCTCAACAGCGAATATGAAACCAGAGATAAGGGTCCCATGACACAAGCAATCTTTTGGGCACCATTCAACTTTAAACTTAAGTACTGAGTTAAATCCCAGATCAAAAATATTTTAGAGGGCTTTCAGAATAATCTCTTCAGTGATTGTAATGTTATCTTAAATTCCTGTTTCCTTGTTTCATGTCTTAAATAGTTGTCCTTATTGATTTTCAAAAACATTCAGATATGATAAGACCTAAGATAAGATCTCATCGTACGGTTCTAACTACATTTAAAACATTAACACATTTTGTTTTTTTCTGCTGTATCACCAGCCAGCCAGTGACACTTTACTGCCAATACATTTGTGAAGTTCTCTCTTACTGCACACATTTTGCAAAACAACTTGGATGTGGGATGTAGTTAACTCTCTTTGAGCCCTTTCTCTCTTACTTTTCTTACTCCGTGTTAACTCGTAAAAAAAAACATTCCAAATAAATGTGTAAAACTGTAGGAAACAACAAAAAATAACTGTAAAAATAAAACCACAGTGGTCTGGACAGTTTAGAATAGTTGGACTACAGTCACAGCCATCCTTAGTTTAGGCTTATTTACGGACTATCAATTGAAAAATCAATTGTAATGTTTCCTCATCTTAGTAATAAAGTTTGTTTACCACAAAGATGTAAGACAGTAGTAAAATGTGGGGAAAAATCACCATAAAAAGTCATAAAATGTATGTTTTACAACCTCAAACTCTTTTCTTTCATTTTCACTTTAAGCTTTTGAGGTGTGGCTGTGCATCCCTAATGCAAGCCCACAAGGCGTCATTGCCAAATGGCCAAATCTGTTTCCAAACACAAACATAAGGGCCTTCCCGGCAACAAACTCCAAAACTCAGTAACCTGCTATCACTCCCAAAATGATTGACAGGTGTTGTAATACACGGATTAAGACTAGACAACAACTAAATCCAAGTTATCAATGTTTCAGAAGTTTCAATGTTACAGCCCTAATATTCTCATTAACGTCGAGCAAACTGCAGAACTTTTCATCACAATGACACATTTTCTGTTGGATTTGGCTCAGATGTATTTAGGGATTTGGACTTAAATCACAATAGCAGCCAAGAACACGTTGTACCCTAATAAGGACTCTCACACTTTGGGCAGAATTTCACTCTCTCAAAGCAGGGAGGGGTGGGCTCTTCATTGGTGCTTACGTCAGGGTGGAAAGAACGTTTTCTTGCCTGTATTCCTCTCTGAGGTTAACGGGCAACATCCGTCTCTTCCCCGCTGTCTCCCTCCCTCCCACATTTTCAGCTCCCTCCTCTTAATATTCTCACTCTTACTTCGCCTACCCCTCTCTCCCCTCCCCTCACTATTTCTGTCTGCCTCCGGCACATTTATTTCTCTGTATTGGGAGCCTTGCTGTGAGCACTAGCCAACAGGGAGTATTTAACTCTGCTGATGAGCACAGTGGCTGCTGATTGTAACCTGATGTGCCAATGCAAGCGAGTCATGCAAGGTGAAAGAGTTTGTGTGTTTGTGTGTGTGAGTGTGTAAAGTGGTAGAGAGAGAGACAGGGTGCAGCTATTACAGAAACTACTGAGTGAACCTTTCATGGTGTTGTAATCAACTTAACCACGGACACTCACGCAAAGCATTACGCCGTCCACTCCCACATCAGGCCGAGCCCAGAGGCCGATATCGATCCAGCACAGTGGGGTTTATAGACTACACACATCATAGTCATTTCTGAAGAAACACTGCTCAGTTATCACATTTGTATTTCACTTAAATAGTCATCACAAGGATAAATGGACCTGTGTCCTACTTTACGATGATGGAATGCAACTTTTATTTATTTCACCAGAATGAGTTTTAATGAGTGTCTGTAATAAAATCATGGAGGAAGTTGTTTTATGATTTCTATATACATCTCAGTATTGATATCCATGCACGTACTTTTATAAAAGCGCTTACTTACTAACAGTGTCTATGTGCAGGGATAACATTGGCGTATTATTTCTTTCTTCATATCTCATACTGTAAGGCAAATATGTATGCAAATACTTTATATTTGAATTTATAATGACTATTTAAACATCTAACTGATACAGAGCAACATTAACATTAATTTGGAGTCATGTTTTGTGATCACATGACAAATGTAAGTACAATGTTCTCTCTCTTTTAGCTGTTTTGGTCTTCACCAACTCCTAAGGGAATTATCTGGCCGTACACACTGCACCATGTTCCCCAGGTAGTCAGTGACTTGTTCTGCTGTTTGGAGCTGAGCAGGAAGTGCAGGTTATGTTATATCAGGTTTTCTCTTTTTGCCGAAACTACAATGTGAACTTTGAGAATGAACAAAAAAATTGTAGCCAGAAAAACCAAAACAATAAGCAGAAAGATGCTACAGTATAAAGATCCATCCATATAGCTGAGGGACCTGTAAATAGGGGTTTTAAATCTCAGAATTGTCAATACAGTCACACCTTTAACAATTGTTAATATTAATGTATTGGTTTGTGCAGCTACCATTTGTTTGTTTTTTCAGAACTATTACAGTTTAAAGTGAGACTTAAATTCTGCTAAATAGCTGTTGCTTGTAGGCAAAATAGCCATTTGTCCACAAGCAACAGCATAACAATATAAATAATATTAAAACATACCAGTATAAGAAGCACCAGTAGAGAGGACACAGTCATTCAACTTAACCAGCAATTTGTGTTAACCTATCATGTCTAAGAAGAACAAACATAAATTGAAAGATGCTTAACTGGCATAAGAATATATGTAATTTAGGCTGAATACATAGAGCTTGATTTCATTTACGTTTGTAAGTTGAACCTTGTCATAAAAAATATATAAATACTAATATCCCCCTGGCTCACATTTCATGATACATCTGGCATTCAATCATGGGTGAAATGTACCATATTGTAGCCAGACTGCAGTACTGAGTTGTGCCAGCAGGTGGCGTGACGCAGTGTTGGTGACTCCATGGCTCTGGGCTGCATGAAGAGTCTGACTTCACACTGCTCAGCATGGACACACACACACACACACACACACACACACACACACACACACACACACACACACACACACACACACACACACACACACACACACACACACACACACACACACACACACACACACCACACACACACACACACACACACACACACACACACACACACACACACACACACACACACACACACACACACACACACACGTTAAGAGCTTCTTTGTTTTTATTTTTAATAGCAAAAAAGTATCCAAAATAATACAACAGGAAGAATCCGGTAAAGATGAAGACAACAAAAAATGGGATGTTTCTACACAGCCATCCTCCTCTCGCGCTCAGCCTGGGGTGTGTGTGTGTGTGTGTGTGTGTGTGAACACTGAATCAAAGCAGAAATAGAGCTTAACAGGAAATCTTCACACACACATGAGCGTCTGCTGGTGAGATGATACAATAATGTGTGTGGTTTGTATGTACATACTGAGATGTGTTGGAATGAGTGTGCTACGATATGTACAATAAAAAAATCCATGTTTGTGTGTATATGTGTGTGTATGTGTGTTTCACCCTAGAATCTTCACTGTTATGGTTCATGGAGGAGGATGTTCAGATGCTCTGACTCAACACAGCTTCAGTCTGCCTGCTGTAGTGAGGAGGATGATAATGGAGTTGATGATGATGATACACTACGAAGGAAGCCAAGAGTAAGACAAACAGGAGAAAACATCAGAAAAAGAAACAAAAAACTGAAAAAGTGGCTGCGAAACAGAATAAAAAAAAGTTTGTCTTAAAAAAAAAAAAAGGTCCTTGACTTTAGAAGGCAGGAGGAGTTTTGAGTTTGCAATTCATCTGCTCGCTCCCTACTCTTTCTTATTAAAATATCGCTTTTTCACTCTTTCATCCCTCAGACGCCCTCATCCATTCACTCAGTCCCTCGTGGCCGGCCTGGTTGGAAGTAGGCAGGCCGTAAAAGTTCAGTATGGATCCCGGCGGTGATACGTAACTCCTCTGCCTTTGCCATCTTTTCCTGCCAGCGCTTCCTCTCCTCTTCACTTGTGAGTCTCTCAGTCCAGCACGCTCCCACCAAAGACATTTGTCCTCTCTGGGCTTCCATTTTGGGAGTACCTTTGTCCGTTTGCAGGAGTTCAATGTTCAGGATCGAACCACGGGGGTACAGATACGAAGGGTCAGATAGAGGGATTCTCTTGTCCTGCTTGTGGAAATGACTCTTCCTGTCACATCGTCCTCCATCTTCACCTTTCATGCATCTGTTGGGGGGCCTGAAGGTCTGAGGGGGGCTGTAGACTCTCCGGAAAAGTCTTCCAGTATCCATATATCTCTCTTTCTCTTTCTCACATTTATTCCCCACTCTTTCACTTTCCATTAAAATACTATCTTTGCCATACGTCCAAAAACACACATGCTTAACCAACACATACTTTGTCCCATCATATCAGCGCCCCATTGGTTAACCACTGATTCAACTCTCTCAGGCACACGAGTACGCATATATATCACACACACACACACACTGGGAGGCTCTGTTGGGGTGGACCTTGGGGGCCCTCTTTGCTATGTCCCATTTTCCTCCTTCTCCTCCGAACAGAAGTCCTGCCCCTGCAAAAAAAAGGGAGAGCAAATTAGATGTGCATAATTTTAATGTTTTTTTTACTCTAATGTGCTCTACTTAAGTTTCCTCAGAAATAACCTACTTTAAATGTCTCGTTCTGACACATCTGCCAAACGCCGACGCACCTGTTACTCAAGTCACTTTTGAACAAACCACTTGTCTATTTGCAGCTACTGGAAGAGGAAATACTTGTTTTAGCCGTTAAGTGCCGACAGGTGTGTTGTTTTGTTTCTTCCATCATGATGAAGAGCGAAATGAACTTCCTGTCTAACAGCTCATCTGATGCTTTAAAACCAAGGCAGTGTTACGCTGAAAATCAGTGGAGGGAGGAAACTAAGTATATTTTCCAAAAAAGCATGTTCCCAAATTGTTAAGTTACTTATTTACATTTCATGTTGTTTTATATATTTAATTTACTCCATTTCCAATTCAAATAGAATTAAAATGTTTACTCTAATTCATTTACCTGACAGCTATTGGAATTTGATATACCTACCTATGGAAAACTTAAGATACAAGTTGATTACACAATGATGAATGCTGCAAGGACTATAATCAGATGATTAATAGGTGTTTTTTGTCCATTTCTTTCCATATTTTCTTGCAAAAAAAATCTTATATGTAGAAGATAATGTGTGAGATTGTACATATATCGCTATTGAGACCCGATAAATGAAACATACTGTCCCACATCTGTGCATTCAGAGAGTAAAACCTAAAATCTTTGATGTTGTAAGAATTGTGTAAAAAGCTATTGATGAAAGTCCAGAGTGACAGAAATCTTTCAAATGTGTATGCTGAGCAAGAGCAGTGTGCTAGAGCATATTTTTGCTACTAACGTTATATTTTCCAACAAGGCAAGGCAAGTTTATTTATATAGCACCTTTCAACACAAGGCAATTCAAAGTGCTTCAACACAACCACATCTGCAAAAGGTGACTGTGTTATCTTTCTTAAAAAAGGGTTAAAATAATTTAGTTTTTTGCTCCCACCACTCCAGAAAACACTGATTTATTTTCAGCCAGTGTTGGAAAATTAACTGCATCACTTCAAAAGCTGAATCCAGCCATTACTCAGTTTAATTTCACTCTGCTACTTCATCTACAGTCAGAGACAACAGGAGTGATTCAAGTGGCAGAGTAAGGGTAGTAAGTGCTCATCACTGCAGCGATGCAGCGATGCAGCGATGCAGCGATGCAGCGATGCCCCCCCCCCCCTCACACATATGGAGCGAAACAGTGTGACAATGAGGAGTAATGGATGTTGTTGTACAGCTGTCTCTTTAAATGTCAAGACACAGCTGTTTCTTTAAACGCCCTGAGCCCCTGTAACCCCGGCTTCTGCCAACCCAAATACACACATCCCTCACCTTCTCAATCTTTTCATCCAGCATCCTGAAAAATTCCTGCTGGCTCTCTGACGTGTGAATACTGAGGGAGAGGAAAAAAGGAAAAGCAAGAGGGGGAGAGGAAGTTAGAGATTGGAGGCAACAAATACATCATGAGAATTTTCCATTACGCCCCCCACACAGCACAAACACACACAAGCCTCCCTGCAGTGTGAGAAAGGCTGTGTAGGAATTTAAATGATTATTTTATTTTATTTTATATACACACACACACACACACACACACACACACACACACACACACACACACACACACACACACACACACACACACACACACACACACACACACACACACACACACACACACACACACACACACACACACACACACACACAACACACACACACACACACACACACACACACCACACACACACACACACACACACACACACACAACACACACACACACACACACACACACACACACACACACACACACACACACACACACACACACACACACACACACACACACACACACACACACACACACACACACACACACACACACACACACACACACACACAACCAGACACATAATATCGCTTACTTAGTATTAGCACTTACTTAGCACACATCATAATATTAACATACCGATCCTTAAAGTTATTGGACGCTGGGTTTATTAAAAGGGTCAGTTCAGGCAAATCACCACGCATTATGATTATAAACAAATGTTTCCGTTTTCACCGGAACTACTTTCTGTGGAAGTAGCGACTCCTATGAGGACCGATCAGAGTGATCTGGCAAAATGATATTAACACAACATGCATTACTATCCTTTTTTTCTGATGTGTATTTTCTTTATTTCCTGTTAACCTTATAAAGTTACAAAAAATTAAATTAAAAAAACTGGATGGCTACAGCATGAGTTTCCTTTTTTGTAAAAACTTTACCTCTACTTGTGACCTAGCGTTAATGTTATCAGAGCTGCCCATAATACTTTTTATTTAACACTTTTTATTTATCTGCTTATTTCATTAAAGGATGTACGTGGCTTAGAATATTACATCTTATTTTCACATAGAATATAGGTACATCACAACAAATAAACAAGAAGAAAATAAACAGGAATACAAAATAAATCAATACAAATAATAGAAACACAAAAATCTAAACAGTAATATATTTACAGCTAAATGAAAGCTGATTACAAAGCAATGACTCATATAATTCTTATTTGGAGCGTTGCATAATACTGAGATGGAATTATTTTTATACAATATCCATAAGGCTTGTATTTCAGTATGCAGACTGCTGCTGGAGACTTACTTTGATTTGATGTTTGCTGAAGAAACCTCCTTCTGCGGTTTGCCTCTGTACTGCACATTACTTTTCTCCTGAAGGCACACACAAACACAAACACACATAAACACACAGCCTATTAGTTTTCATTATAAACCGATAAAACAGGCAGAAAACAAACAACTCATATCAGCAAACAGCCACACCACTGAGAGGACATGTCAAATCAAAGCTGTGTTATTAAATCATGTCCTCGCTCAGCTGCTACTGCAGAACAGCCATAAGATATCAGGTACAGGTGTAATGTACGCAGGTCTTATACAACCGTGTGTGTGTGTGTGTGTGTGTGTGTGTGTGTGTGTGTGTGTGTGTGTGTGTGTGTGTGTGTGTGTGTGTGTGTCTCTCTCTCTTACAGCTTCAGTAATGACAAGTCGTTCTGCTCTAACCAGTGACTGTGTCAAATTGTGGTTTGGGGCTTACATAACTCAACTAAATAACATACCTCTCATTAGAAAACAAGACACGCAGCCATTTGAAACAGTTTATGCACTTCAAACATGCGTTTCATTTGCAATAAAATGAATCCTGCTGTGTGTTTGTTGAAGAAGAAAAACAATCCAGTGATACTAGGAACGTCACCTCACGTCTTTAATCATTGTTGGATCATTTTAATCACAGCTAATCATCCCACTGTAATTCGAGCTTCATTTGTCTGATTTATTTGCATATAATCTCTGCCTTTCCTGTGCTGCAGTACCCTTCATTTCAGATTTGCCGATGTCCATATCATGGTACTTTAATCAGGCATGGCTTCTGAGCTGCATTAATATAAATTAGCTGCAGCTTGACACTGCTTTTGTATTTCATTTCATTGTATTCCTCTTTTACCTTCTTTAGTTATCAGTACAAAGGTTGTCTTTATGCGGCTGCAATAACCACATTTCCTCTTATGGGATCAATAAAGATGTATCTTATCTTAATCAGGATATATAGTTGCATTGGTTATTGTTTTACAACTTGCCAGGACGCCACTGAGACTGAACTGATTTACTGAATAAGCAAAAGACTTCTTACTTGAAACATATTACACTTTTCAGACATTAAGTGTGTTGAAAGGATGTCAACATGTCCACGTTTTATACATTGGACGCTGAATGTGCAATAGGGGATTGATAGTCAGGTTAAGCAGGTTATATAATATAATAACTGACTCCTACAGTGTCAATTAGAACAAAATCCCACTGTTTTAGACAACAATTTTGCAGGAAGTGAGTCAAACCAGCCGAGCGATCAGCCCCCACATTCCTCACACGCCAGCATGTTGTCTCTACCTGCGTGTGAGGCACCTCAGTGTGTTTTTGCACGTCTACAAGAGACAATAAGTGTGTATGTGCAGGCTGACCGGAGATGCCTTGAGACACAAACACGAGCCTGTTCGCTTGAGCTGATAAACTGTCAGAGAAGAAGGTCCGAGTCGGTGTGTGGATGACAGGCTGTCAGTTGAAATGATGGTGTGTGTTTCTGTGTGTGTGTCTCTCACCAGGTTCTCCTGGTTGCGAGCGTTCACCCGGTTTTCATCCCCTCTCATGTACTTCACCTCCTCCACGCCCTTCATCTTGTATTCGTCTGAGGAGAGAGTGGTTTGGAGAGAGAGAGAGAGAAAGGCATGATTAAAGGAGGGAGACAGAGAGAGGCAGGAAGGGAAACAAACAACATGTATTTATCAGGCGTTCCCAGGGACGAAACCCTCACCGTATTCTTCCCATTCATCCTGATCAATACGATGCTAATGATTGAGCTTTGTCATATCGACTTCACTGTACTCTCGCCGCGTTAAGTCAACAATGCCAAGACTACACCATTGATTTAAGTTATCATTAGTCCAAGGTAATCCAATAACTACAACCTGATGCAGTGTTTCAGAGGGTGGACATGAAAGCTGAGATAAGTAGGAGAACACTAGTCATCTCCTTTCCATTTAAGCTACAGCAACTGGAAAGAAAAAGAAATTAGCAACAGTAAGAGGGAGTGTGCATATAGAAGAGAATTGAAGAAGGGAAAAAACATGGAGCAGATAAGTAGGAGAAAGCTGGAGGGGATTAAAGATCAGTGGAACAGCTTCTAGACTACATGGAAAGCTTAGACTTTTAAGAAAGTTAAGTGGAGCTCAATGGCTAGAAACTCTAACACTTCCTCAAAGCAGCGCTACACACCTGCAATATGCATCCTAAATCACTGCTAGAGGTATAAGGGCCTGCATGTGATGTATTAAGGGCAATATGCATGTCATATGTCCAGCCCGCGTAAAAATACATGTGTATTACAATATTTTTACATCAATAATTAACACATTCATTTTTAGATATTGTACTATTATTGTGAGCCTCTGCTGACCCCAACTTTGCATTTCGCGGTGTGACAACAGGCTAAAATTAATGGGACATTTGTTTTTCTATTAAGGGTTGCAACTTGCTGATATACAAAATCTATTGTTCACATTTTACAATAAAGCCACAAATTATTTAGTGTATAAAATGCCAGAAAAATGGTGAACAATTATCACAATTTCTATGAGCCCCAGTTAAATACTGATCATTAAATTGCTCTCAAGCTGAAAAACACAAGCATATTATGTGTGGTCGTCAGTATTGAAAAACAATCACATGAGACACTTCTCTTTGTCTGAAAGTGAACTGTGATGTAAACTGTATTTTATTGTTGTGTGTTTGAACTGTTCATTTAGCAAGATAGAGCGATATAAAGACATCATCTCGGTCTTTAAGATGATCTTATGTAATTTCAAGGTTTAATATTTTATAAACCAAATTGTGGATTGATTGATCAATAAAATGACCAGCTGATTAATCATTAACTGTAATTAGTATGTTGCCCTTTAAAAGACCAATAAATCAAACAACCCTGTGGTAAAAGCCACACCCTGGTTCACTCACTGTTCCCTACATAATCATTTACTCTCAGTTTATAGCGCAGTAAATAGTGAGTGATTGTGGACACCGCCTTATTGTTTTAGCACAGCTTATCAGAATTAATCTTTACAGTAATGTAACATTATATAATGGCTAAAACTCACCATTACCTAAGACCAAACCCAGCCTCACCTTGAGCAGAACAAGCACACTGCTCGCTCTGCTGGGTATTTTACTGATAAAGCAGCCTGGCACACACACACACAAAGACACACACACACACACACACACACACACACACACCTCTGGGCCGTATCTGTTGCACACTCTGTATTTTGCCCTCCCTCTATCAGCAGTCTGTCGGTTTCTCTGTGTTTCTGTCTGTGCCACTTTGTGCTCAGCTTAGAGGTTCCACCCTGCCTCTGTTGCAAACACCTCGATCACCTGTGTGTGTGTGTGTGTGTGTGTGTGTGTGTGTGTGTGTGTGTGTCTTCGCTCCAGTGTGTGCGTGTTTCTACATCTTACACATGCGTCACGGTAGAGCCAAATACGGCCTATGTATGTCAGATTAATGCCGCTGATGAGAAATCATTTTCAAAGAGAGGGAGAAGAGAAGGGAAGCTGGCAGATTTAAGGGAAGCAGAAGGAGAGATGAGAAAAATAAACGGCGTCTACTTTTCTGCTGTTCTGTTTGTCTCAGGAATGTAAACGAGTCGGAGCAAAGCCGCTCCTGTCTGAACATGCCGACGCAGACGAACGGTATTATAACACTACACAGGCTCACCAAACTAAGATCTGCTTTGTAAACATGCAGCACATATGGTGCTGCAGAAGGAAACAGATTAAGAGCCATTTCCTCTGCCGTACTGCCTATTAAAAGCAGCAAGCCACATGCATTACATTTCAAAGATAATCCTTTCTTTTAAAAGAGCCCTTTTATGCTTTTGGGGTTTTCCCCTTCCCTTAGTGTGTTATAGGTTTTTTGCATGTAAATGGTCTGCAAAGGCTAAAAAGGGTGAGTTTCTTCCCCACACACTTCCCCCCCCCCCCCCCCTGCCTGAAAAACCTCCATTGGACTCCTCTGTTTACTTCCGGAACATAGTAACATTAATATGTAGCACTCCTATTGGCTACCTCTCCAACACACTGTACGTAATTGGCTAAGGGGCGGGACATCTTTAAGGGTTGACCAATCACAACAGAGCCAGCCAGCTGACTAATCAGAGCAGACTGGGCTCTGGTTTCAGGCAGAGGGTGAAAAGAGGTGCTGCAGCACAGACAGTATGAGAGCTTTTTGAACATGAAAGCATGCACACATGTCACAGTGGAGACACAAAGTACACATATGAAGCAGGACATTAGCATAATAAGCCCCTGGAGGTGGATACGGATGAAGAGGAATGGGTACAACTAGCTGCTGCTGTGGGCTACATACAAAAAACGAAATGTTTAGGTAAAATGTCTTATCATAATTTGTGTGAGCTGCAGCCTGACTGGTAAAACAGGCTGAATGTTTTTTTATCCCATCAGAGGATAGTCAGTCAGTTCGCTTAATGTGACGTGTGTGGATAGATCAAAGTGACCCAGCTTCCACCAATCAAGACTCATCCCATCACAGACATTGCTTTAATTGAGATAGCAGCAAAAACTGGTCATGCTATGCGTGCCAGTAGTGTGTGTGTGTGTGAGTGTGTGGTTGTCATCGTCACGCTGATGTTTCGTCACGCTGATGATGGGGCTTGCTTTGGGGGAGAGGGGAGGGGAAACGTCGGAGAGGGGAAGATGAAAGGGAAGAACTATTTTGAAAAGCTGTGATTTTGTGATGTGGACATGTTTCTCTTCTCTGATTAAAGACCGGCTGTGCGCTGACCTTAAGGTACACACATAGTGCATGAGAATGTGTGTGTGTGTGTGTGTTTCTATTTCAGATAACCCTGTGTCTTTGAATCAGCTCGTTTGTCCTTTTATGCAAGTGTGCCGTTTGTCTGGGTGTGACTCATTTAAATAGCCATCTTAGTGTTTCTGTCCTGTGGCTATGTCACTCTGTCCTCCCTGCTGTGTGTCCTGCCTCTCGGCCGCTCTGGCTCCAGGCCATCGCCGGCCTCGCCATGACTTCTACACCTGAACACGACTCCTGATCTCTAACACACACACACACACAAAAAAAAAAATCATACCCATCAATCAGTTTAGAAAAGAAATACTGAGCCTAATATTCTCCAGAGAAATAAATGTCAGGGCTGTTGCTGTAAGGGATGACATTATGAAAAGCAGGAAAAGGCAGACAGGAAATCTCAAAATGTCCTTTTTGATTTGATACTGTAGTGCCAACAATAAGCAAAAAGGAAAATAGATGAATTAAATGACCTGCGACATAGGGAAGTTCCAAAATAAGATATTGACCTCAGACAACGACAGACTGAAAACTCATCATACACAGTCAAAGGGGCTCTATTAGGATTTTGGGGGGTTTTCCCTTTCCTTTGTGTGTTGTATAGGTTTATATAGGCTACAATCCCAGAGTTCTCTCCAGAGGGAGTTTCTCTCCCACACACGTAACATAGTGACATCACAAATATGTAACACTTGCGCTTCTATTGGCTGGCACTACATCACATTGTATGTGATAAGCTAAGGGCGAGGACTTCTCTAAATGGTTGACCAATCACAACAGAGCCGACCAACAAACCAATCAGAGCAGACTGGGCTCTGGTTTCAGACAGGGGGTGAAAAGAGGTGCTGCAGCACAGGCAGTATAGCCGCGTTCACACCAAGTACTTTGCCGTACTTAGTGCCGGCACTCAGTGCCCCGGCACTTATTACCCCAGGGCACTTAGTACAGATCGTGTTCACACCGGAATAAGTTCCCTGAGGGAAGATTACGCAAATGAGCCGCTGACGTCACTTCGTCTTCTTCTGCTTTGGGTTTACTGGCAGGCCGCAAACCACTTCACGGCGTATACTGCCACCCGGAGTCCCCGGCCGGAAGTCCCCTGAGTTGGGGACTGGCTTCAGTAGAAGCTGCTGGGACTCCCAGCAGCTTCTACTGAAGCCTTCCGAGTAAATCGCCAGAACGCCGACACCTCCTCATCTCCACCGCTCCCATGTTTTCTTTTGTGTTGCCATAAGTTAGTCTCTCTGCGTTGGTGCGCGGGGCTAATGCTAATGCTAATAATGCTAATGCCAGCAAATACAATGGCGGCTTCAAAAAACTTTTCAGAGTTTTACGGGGCGTGGTTTGCAATTCGCCCAGCCAATCAGAACTGGGGCACTTTTTCCACCCAGGAAAGTACCATCTCTCAGCAGGCACTAAAAATGGGGGTAAAAGTTCCCGGCAGTAAGTACTCTTTTTGGTGTGAACGCGACATAAGGGGTACTAACGGAACTAAACGGGAAAAGTACGGGGAAAAGTACTCCGGTGTGAACGCGGCTAATGAGAAAAGTAAAGAGCTTTTTGAGCATTAAAGCATGGAAACATGTCAGAGTAGAGACACAAAATACCAATATGAACCTGAACAATTTGCATAATAGGCCCCCTTTAAATAATCACATTGAATGAGTATCTGGGTCCTACTAGAAGAACAATATTTAAAGAATAATGAATTACGTACATATATTGTGTGAACAAATGTTGGGGTCTTTTGGCCATCAGCAGTTTCTCATAACCATAAGGTTGCTGAAATCAGGGAATTACAGACG